GCAGCATTGAAATTATGAAAAACTCCAATTTCAGGTTTGAATAATCCTTATTTTTTTCATAAACTATAAACATACAGACAGCACAGCATTTTGATTACAACAGAATCATTCTTTAATTCCACTCTTGCCAAATTTTCCATTTCACCTCTAATGCGCGTGCACTCTGGTTTATTTTTCGTTGTTAATAAATCTAAGCGACACGACAGCGCTCCGAAGGTGGAATTGCATGGATTCCGACGAATCTAAAAATCGTTCGGTCTGTGGGCGAACGCTGAGAAACTTATTTTCTTTAATACCTGATATTTATTAGGCTATGAAAGTATTAGTGTTCACGATTGGGTTTTAATACTTACCGTAAATGTTTTAAAGGTAATTTTAAGGTTTAGCCTCGTATAGAATTATTTTCTTATTACTTTCGATTTCTGAACGAAAATACGTAAATAATAAATGTTAACGTGAAATAGAAATGTTCCTGGAAAAAGCCATAGTAGTGACCCTCAAACTATTTATTATGTTATGTACTGGAAACATTCAAAATATTAATATGAAAAACAAAAATCTGGATTATGCTGTGAAATTGAAATGATAAAAAAACTAAATTTCGTGATGTGTTTTTTGTTATTGCGGTCCTTCTCAATGGACCAAAAAACGTTCTATGGTTTGTTATAAAAGTTACTATTTTTATATGTTACAATATTAATTTGACTAAGCCATTTCATACTTTTACATAAAATAATATTAATACATTTACAATCTTTTTTTTTAAAATGCAGTACTAAAATGTTAAACTGTTTTCAGAATTTCATTTCATTTTTTTTCTCTCCTTCCTATGTTGATACCCTTGAGAGGCTATTTCAGCTTGACTCTGATGTGTAAGGTGAGCCACGGGGCTCAAGCCGGAGAGTTGCTAACACTGGCCCTAGTGAGAGCAGTGCTTCGGAGAATCTACCACCGGATCGAAAACACGACCAGGCGAGAAGATCAGACGAGAAACTCAGTGGACCGTGTTTAGGGGACCACATTTCATACAGTACCATCATCGTCCACCTAATGCGAACAATTTTTCTTATTTTTTTTATTTCTTAGATGGGTGGACGAGCTCACAGCCCACACTAGTTGCTAAATTTCATGGACGTGACAATGTTCACGTCTCCGACCACCTCGAGGCCCAAAGTCAAAACGTAGAAATAGACATTGCTGACGTCCATGGGCGACGGTAACCGCTCATCATCAGGTACGGTGGGCCGTATGTTCGTCTGCCTACAAGGGTAATAAAAAAAGCAGCAGGTACCGGTATTGAAGGTATCGGCGCGGGTCACAAATACGCTATACAATCGGTAAATACTGGTTGGCAATGACTATTTGGGGCTTACAACAAAGGGGAGATCTTCCACCGAGCGGGTGATATTGCTCGGTAGACCGACGGTCGGAATGTTGTTGTTCGGAACTTGTATATATGCGCTTTATCTTGAAAATGTCGTAAGCGAGATTCAGGCATCTGTCAATTATCTTGCGTTGTATGATAGCTACCCTCCACAACTATAATATTCAGAGTACGCTACCACCAATTCTGCGACGAATCCCTTAGTCGCCATTTACATCCACCACGGCAAAAGACTGGGTGATGCTATTCTAGAACGACAGCATACAGCCAAAACATTTCAAAATATAGTATACAGGTAGGTATATAAAATAAGAGGATCCCTGGTGAATTCTTCAAGATTAGCAGACATGGCCATCACATGATGAAAGTGCCCATTTTGCGACATGAGCTCAGTCGTGATTGAATTGATAACTGCTTGTCGACTATTCATAGAAAGCCGCAACAGCGCGAGCTGCATCACTACCTAACAGTACTCAAGATAGGGGAAGGGAGGTTTAGGATTGGTAGTTAGTGATTCAAGGAGTGAGAATTATTGTATCTTAAAACATCCGTCCAGTGGGATGTTAAAGTCAATATACTTAAATCAGATATTTTAGTAAACAATGGTCAGAAACGAGGTTCCTTATTGATTTTTGTATAAATCCTCAATATATCAACAAAGGTTTTCGCTTATAACCAATTAGCTTTATGGCTGTATCACGAGTAATGTTGATTTACGGCAAACCGCATTTTTTTCTGTTCCAGCATCGCCTCCGGTTATCTTAGCAATATCTTTAAGTATTCCCTGATAAATATCTACGCTAATAAACGCTAAGACACGATAAATCTTTTTAGCGCGCACTCGCGGACACAGTGTCTGACGATGCAGTAGGTTTGCTCTAAAATTTCTATCGTACGACCACAGATTTGTTTATTAAACGCGTTAGTGGGATCTGAATGGTAATTAGATTTAATACTAAGTATACTTGAGACCTTAGAACTTTTATCTCAAGATGGGTAGCGCATTTACGTTGTGGATGTCTATCTATGGGCTCCAGTAACCACTTAACACCAGGTAGGCTGTGAGCTCGTCCACCCATCTAAGCAATAAAAAAAAATAGTCAAAGATTAAAAAAAACGTCAAGTGACAGTATGTCTTCTGGTTTTCAACAGAATTATCTTTTTTTTATTATTCAATAGCTAATTACTACACAAATATGGCGATCGGAGAATTATTTCTAGCAGCGTAAACATTTATAGTAGTGTTGTTTGGTGGTCACGTCACCATGAGGTGTTTTTTTATGGCCTTTGTAGGCAGAATAATTATGTGGACCCCCTGGTGGTGAGTGGTTACTGTTACTCGTGAATATCAGTAATAGCAGGGGTTGAGCTAAGCTGCTGTCTACCGCTGAGTACCTACTCTCCACAAGCCTTGTTTCGAAAATGATATATCATAGCGCTCAGGTAACACCGTTATTCTGGACTTCTCAGCATTATTGATGCCACCTTGGCTTTGCCTTCCATATGACTTCGATACTGGACATCGCACGTAACGTTGATCCCAAGAATTCTAATAATTCTCGAAGGTTGCAGAGATAGTCTTCAAAATTGGGGTCATAGCCAAAGGATCTTTCTTCGAGGCTTGTTTGTGGTTGAAATAGACTAAATTCAATTCACATCGAAATCGATGATGGATATCGAACAATTGTCAGTAATAAAACAAGTGTCACACCAAAACTCCCTAACGGATCAGCAGTTGTATTATCTCTCCCTCAATTATGGTAGGCAGCGGCTTGACTCTGCCCCTGGCGTTGCTGAAGTCAATGGGCGATGGTAACCAAGTGGGCCGTATGCTCGCCTGCGTATAAGGGCAACAAAAAAAACATCTGGTATTAGAAAAAATGGTAGAAAGATCACTTTGCATTACTAAAACGAATTTCCGCTACAGCGTAGTGAGAGGCGTATAAAAATATAGGCGAAGTCGAGGGCACGCATCCATCGTTGTAAAATATAACACAGAGGAATATTGTTACAGTATATTGTGTTGAGTATTAGGGAAAAATATTAACTCTAGCTGTTGTTTCGAGCATGATTTAGAATCTATTGTGAATCGAATGTGAATTACGTAACGTAGATGTTTAAATCGTTTTAGTGATTTTTTTTTTTTATTGCTTAGATGGGTGGACGAGCTCACAGCCCACCTGGTGTTAAGTGGTTACTGGAGCCCATAGACATCTACAATGTAAATGCGCCACCCACCTTGAGATATAAGTTCTAAGTTCTCAGTATAGTTACAACGGCTGCCCCACCCTTCAAACCGAAACGCATTACTGCTTCACGGCAGAAATAGGCGGGGTGGTGGTACCTACTCGTGCGGGCTCACAAGAGGTCCTACCACCAGTGAGAATATTTAAGCGAAAAGATCCTTGTATGAAGCACTCGTTCTTAGACTTACCCGCACTGTATGTAGTATAAATGTCCCCAGTTCAAGGGATATGAGTAGTGGTTCTTAAAGAATGTGGATCTCCATGATGACCCGGAGCTTGACTCATACAGTAAGTACCTTATATTAAACAGTCGGCATCAATGCGCCACTTTAAGAAGGCGGCATGACATGAAAACTCTCTTGACGTGGCCGCCAGAAATTACATATCCGATTCTGCAGACCGAATGGTAAACAGTCGACGTCGCCCTAAGCATGCCATTACAGATCCTCCCGATCCATTAACGGTGCTTTTAGGTACGTCAAGCACCGGTCACCGTCCTTGCCGAACCCGTCGCTTGCGACGAAGGGCTCAGTGGCTGAGTTTCTCGCCGGATCTTCTCAGTGGGTCGCGTTTCCGATCTGGTGGTAGATTTTGCGAAGCACTGCTCTTGCTAGAGTCACTGTTAGCAATACCTCCGGCTTGAGCCCCGAGAGTTCACCTACATGCTAGGGTGACGCTAATATAGTCTCTTAAGGCTAGTACTGGCTGAGGACCCGCATATTCTAAGGTTTCATGGATAACCACCGCTCTGCGTATTACTTCCGCGACAGCCGTTATGTAATACAATTGAGACCACGACCTCATGTCTCAAAGTGCAGTCTCATTCATCGTATGTCGTCATCGCGGCTAACCAGCCTAAATATTAATTTATTGTACTAGATGCTAAAATAAAAACAAGCTTAGGTTACGTACTCCTAATACCAAACCGTTTTAAAGTTCGGCCGTGAATCGTACCTGGATCCCATGGTACAGCAGTCAGGTCTACCCGTAGAAACCAACGGAGACTAAACAAACACAAACATAATATTCATAACAAGATTTAGTACGTTTCTTAACATTCTTTAAAATTCATGAGATCATAGACGCATATTAGTTTTGATCAATCGTCAATGGCGGCTCGTTCGCACGCGCCGTCCGTTGATGGGTTAATGCGATGCGTTGACTGCCCGCGAGTGTGAACGCACTGCGTGTTTACCTTTACTGCAGATTAGTTTGGTCAGCCATATTTAATATTGTCTATAAATTACACATGTTCAAACTATCATCCTTAGAAATAAAAAAAAAGATTTGTGGTATCGTGGGACACCGGATAGGAGCGAAGTTCCATATTATTTTTATAAAAATATTAATTTTAAGTTCTATTCGAGGTATAAAAAAAATAATTATTCGGGTATACATTTATTATTATGATTTTTTTATTTATAAAAATAAACATAATCGCAAGGATCAACCACTCCGTAGTGCATTGGAGCAGCCTCGCCCTGGGGAAACCGCCTACATGATCAAGGTAGCTCTCTACGTTACGTAAGTATGATTTAGCAAGAGAGATACGAGAACGTCTATCAACTGTCACCGCGATTCAGGAATTGTTGAATTTACGTGCAGCGACATCTGTTGATAACAAACTAAATAGAAAAAAATTATTATTTATTTTATTTATTTATTTATTTATGTACACACAGAAAACAAGACACAGTACAGAGTAATAGGAAAATTATGTACAAAGGCACTGCTTATTTCTTTGAGAAATCTCTTCCAGCAGACCTGCGAGAGAATAATGAGAATAATAATAAAAAGTGATAAGTGTGTGTAGAGCAAATAACACAACTAAAATAACAAATACAACATGAGAATTATAGCACATACACATAGCAAATATTATAAGTAACACAGTAACACTCGTATATGCGAAGAGTATAGAACCATGATCATTCGGTTGATGAGAGATAAAATTGTTTGACCTTGTATTTAAAAACAGAAACAGACTTGCAAACTCGGATGTCAGCCGGCAACGAATTCCACAGTCTGACCGCGTGCACAGTAAAGGAGTGAGAATAGAAATTGGTTTTGTGGGAAGGGAATAACAAAACAGAACGTTGGTTGGACCTGCAGGGAGCATCAGGAGAACGAATGAAAGAGAATCGCTCACGTAAATATAAGGGAGAAGTGGGTTTATGTAGGATATTGAATAGGAGACATAAAATCTTACGTTACGAACGTTTTTTTTCCCGGTTATGGTACCCCTCCGCATCGTCCCATAAGGAACTTCGATCCAAAGTAATCATAGATATTACTGGCATAAAAATAGATTAATTTAGGGTTACAAATGTTTTGTGAATACTGTCGGCCCAAATCAGAATAGATTCAAACGTTTCGGAGAATAGCTTGGAAAAACCCAAAAGATGTATTTTGGTTCTAGTCAATAGAACATAGGTAAATGAGTTTAAAAGTTGGGAAATCATGTACGGACTTTTGATGTTTTTGTTTTATGAGGGGCCATATGTATATTAAAATATTGTTATAGAAAACGACTTAAAATTTAATTGGATATCTTCCCGTTTCTCAAATAAAAAAATCTCTAAACAAAGACTAATCTATGCGATTCTTTACAAAAAATATATCTGATGTTTACAACTAGTACAAACATATGAATTCGTCTGTCGGTGTTTTGAAGCGATTTCTGAGTGATCCCCTTCATCCGCGATGGGAGCTGATTAATGTTCTCATATTAGTTGGAGGACTGCCAATCTAGCTTTGGAAACTTCTTTTTGGTGTCGATGGACATACAGACTACCAAACCACGTTAATCCTTTTCGAGATTAAGCATAGGTGTATGCGTATTTGTTCTTGACTTCTTTCTTCCGATTTTTCTGTTCATTTTAATTTCTAAAATATATTTTCCTCTAAAATTTTGTAACCAAATTTCTGCTTGTTCCTAAACATATAATTTGTAAAATATATCCCACAAAAGTGATTATTTAAATTAGTATCATGTATTTGATTTCATTCGACACCTACTTTCAATATCATTCTATAAGTTTAGGGTCGGCCCCTGCAGATGTGTGAGATCGCCACGACGCTTATAATGTGGAAGGGTTCATTTAGAAAGTGGAAGAAGCCATGAGGATAGTTCTTCTACTACGAGAAGATGCTGAACTATAATTCTTAGCTGAAATAATCTCATTGGCTACCAGCAAATAGGTAGAAAAGAAAAACAGATTCCCGATTCTCACTAACGACATTTTAAAACATGTAAGCTTACATATATAAGTTCCGAACAATAATTTTCAGAACATCAGTTTACCGAACAATTACACCTGCTGGGTGATAGATCTCCCGTTGCCGTAGCCTTATTAAATTGGTGACCTGCGACGGAACAACCGCAGTTTTTATACTATATCATCAGCACTCTGCCATCTTCGACAACAACAGTTCAAGCAGTCTCAGACAACATCGCAGCTTCAACAGGTCATGGTACAATAACATTTATGGTTCTACATGTAGAAATAGGTACATCTCAGAATACAGAAGGTATTTTGGTATTTAATAAATTTTACCTAGTTTCTGGGTGTATTCTGGAGGATTGTTCGATATGATCCGGTTTTTTTCTTTTTTCACCTAACCATCCTTCACTGGAACAGACTTCTTCTATACTACTTTATGACGAGGAATACTTTTAGTTACTGAAATATGGTAGAAAGTGTCTTCTACTCCTGCTTGTTCAACTGAAGGAACCAAGTTGCTCGTGTTATGAAACGTAAAAGCTCCAGGCAGGTAGGTGGTCCCGAACGACCTGAATTCTAAAGCCCGTGATAAACTTACAAGCTTCGAAATTCCAAAACTAACGATCAAAAACACACATTTTTCAGTTGTCTCTGACACGTTCTTCGTTTTGACTTCAAAACGGTTTCCTGTCTCTCGTTTCTTTGACGTCACACAAAGACATACATGAAAGGCGTCGTTCCAATCATTTTTAATAGCGCATTCAATAAATCTAAGCGTGTTTTAACATCGCCAGCAGAAATATAACGAGGACTTCATTGTTTCCACATCGACTATAAATCTCAGGTAAGTTTGCAGACGAGACTAGTAGGTATAGCAATGTGACTGTAAATATTTTTACTTCCCATTTGATGTCAAGTGTCAAGAGACGTGAGGTCGATATCTGAATTGTATCCTGATTGCCATTTGAATTGACAACTATGTATTGTATGACCTCCGAATGGTGGCCGGCGAAATGTGGGCGAGGAGAGCTAAAAACTGGGTTCAGTGGTATGGATTGCGAGAGGTCTATGTCCAGCAGGGGACGACTGTGGGCTGATGATGATGATGATGTTGAGGGACGCAAATGGTGCGATCTATTTAAATAGATTTTTTTTCTACAAACTTCTAGACTACGAAACACACAGACAAATAAACATGAGAGAGTATGTGGCACGTAAAGACGTTTGGAAAGCCCCCATGTCGCGCCGACAATGACGAATGTCGTAGTACGTTGCGACGCGTCGCGACACCTGTTGCTTGTAAGTTGGCCATCTCTATGACGATGCATGGGATAATTCTTTCAAATTAGAGTGGTATGACAAAATTTTCGGAGGTTTTTGTAGAATGGATTTTTTTAGGCTGTTCATAATATAAGTCCTGTATCACATCATCACACACATCACATTGCAGAGCTTGGTGCCATAATCTTAGAGTTGTACCATTATTTCAAAGTGCTTCTAGGTTCTTAAGGAGGGACTTCAATTTGGAATTGAACTGAAGTATCAGAACAGCTTAGTTCAGTTCACAGAACCTGTATTTTTCAGATGAAATTGAGCAGACAAGTATCGCTCCACATAACCGGTTATAAGACGCTCTAGAAAATACACTGTAGGTACATATCAATGGCTTCCTTCGAACTATACAGCATACTTATTTCGTAGTAGAAATAAACAGAATACCGTCAAAATACTTTTCTAAATTTATCTACAAGAATATGTAAAATACAGACATCCTACTCACCCACGGTGACGAAACTCACCACAGAGTATTTTCAGTGAAGAGGTTGGTCGATATTTTTGTAAACATTTTAAGATTAGGCGCCTCATATGTAGGTTGGAATCTATAATAGCCTGGCTTAAAATCTAGGTAGACCGCGATCAGTGGATGAATTCTCACAACTATAAATTTATTATGAGATTATTCCTTTACGACTTTTGTACGTGACTAGCTCAGCTAGCCAGTACTTAAAAGTTATATCGGTTGATTTTTTGTGTGCAAATTTTAATTATCACTGATTCCGGTAGTAATTACAGTCTTGTTTTTACAAATAATTATGCAGTGATTTTGAGTGTCACCACAACTGATAATAATTAATCAAAATGCCAAGTTAACGTCTCGCTAATGAGTCCATCTGTCGGTCTGTTCCCAGAAATGCGTATCTACAAACAGTCATAATATGACTATATTATAGTGGATATTGTGATCGGGGGCAAAAATACTAATAGAAAAATGCTATTCTAATTGGTTCGTAGGTAGCGGCTTGGCTCTGCACCTGGCATTGCTGAAGTCCATGGGCAACGGTAACCACTCACCATCCAGTGGGCCGTATGCTCATCTGCCTATAAGGGCAAAACAAAATTTAAAATAAATAATAGTTTAAAAAAGTTTTAATAAATTATTTAATATTTTTTAGTTGGATTTTCTATAAAGCGTTTTTTGTTTTTTTTTTTTAACTATTATTTATTTTTCATTTTTTTAGTTGAATTTCAATTTTTTCATAATTTTTAAAAATATTGAGTTGTCATCGGTCCTTAATAAGTATGCCAAATTTCGAGTTAATTCGACGTTTTGACGGGGGTCAAAATCATGTGCAAAGATTCCGTTACAAACATACATACATACGTCTGAAGCTAATAAAAGCGTAAAAAATATTCAGGCTACATGTTCTATGAGATGGAGTAAAACATTTTCTTCGGTTTTCACGATTCATACACAAAATTAATATTACTTTTACGGTTTAATCTCGCGAATTCTTATTGTCATTTATTATTACCGACGTTTTGAATGCCTTAGAGTTTCCAGGGTCACTCACGGACAGTTGGTTTGGATTATTATTAAATGGTCAGTGCATTCTCGAAGCTGAGTATTACTGTTCTTGAATAACAAAACTTTTTAAATTTTGGTTACCTCAACCACTATCGAGGTTACCTTAATTATCACCATGAGGATTGTCTGAAATCAGTATTCCTAGTTGTGATGTCTTAGAATACGGGTACAATTTTCATGAGATACAATAAAAATATTTGGATGTTTTTCATGTTTTATAAGAAATAAATAGGGTTAGATAGGGATGTAATATAAAAAACTTTCCTTATGTAGGATTTACTCTTCTTAATGGACCATTTAGCTATCTCTAGTTAAATTAACAAAAAAGTAAATAAATAATATTTATTTTAATCTTAAATTTTCGAGATACGTAGTCCATGTGTTCATTTTATTGATTACTTTCATATCTTTATTATTATTTCAATAACATAATGGTAGCTTA